AGTAAACATTGCGTTTTTTCGTAAACGATGAAACTTAGCAATAATTGATTAAAATTCAAACTCTCTACATACCTATATTATATAACGTATCGATTATTCGGGGAGTTAACTTAAATTGCTTAAATCTCTACTCTAAAACCTATAATTGATTATTGGAGTATGTTGAAGTTTTTGATAGCTATATATTAGTACCTATCTTAAATAAAACTCGTAAAAGGGCTACGATATTAAACTTATATTATTTTCTAGAATTGCAACTGAATATATATGAATCTGTAATTATATTTTATAATATTATATTCGTAGTATTATCGTAGTATTATAGTATCTATAGTAGATTAATAAACAACCTTTAAGATTAASGTCATCACGTACACCTTGATATCAATAATTATACAACGGTGAAAATACAAAAATCGTATCCATCTATATTTTACTGGATTAATATTTTTGACGTAGATACATAAAGTATGAATCATATGTTAATGTATAGATACATGAACGTGTGTATAAAAATAAACAGTACTTAGTGTACCACTTAYTTCTGCACTACAGTAGTACTGTCGTAGGTATAAAAAAATTACGTGTAACCAAATTTCAAGATCAAAATTGTTTATGTACAGCATTTTGGAAGAATGAGATCAAATTTTAAATTCTGTTATTCTCTATAATGTTGACTTAAATTGTTAAATTGTATTATGAAGCAATAATTCAATGAGCGTAATAGTAGTACCTAATTATTTTAAAAATTGGTACAGTTTTACATATTAAAAAAGATATTGATGAATATTATTATTTTTTTAATATAACTATTGTTAAATAACAACTAAAATGGGTCACGACTAATGAGTCCAATTAAGATGCAAACCACAGGCCTATAAGTACAAAAAGTAAATCAAAATTTCTATCAATATAACATTCACGACTGTCATACATTGATACATATAACCGTATGGGGTATAATGGTATATATTTGAAACAAATAGGTACCTAAGTTWAATGTGTAAATATCTTATATGACTGAATTATTAGGAAAGGCTACGGTAAATGCAAAGCCCTTTCGAAAATACTACCTCCAAATATTTTTGAAAAAAAATTTGAGACAATATTTTTTTAAACTGCTCTTATACATATTTTGATTTTCAACAAATAATAATTTCTACATTATATACGTGTACCTATGCGCAATTATTAAAACTTGGTTAATTACTATTAAGTATTAATTGATCTACCATCTAGGCAATAAAAAACAAATTGTACGCATTTGTTTTTCCTACAAATCTTATGAATTATAAGATGATCTACAATTTATTTAAATATTTTAAAAGTTTAATTAATATCATTTACATTATAGGTAAATTCTTATACGTATTGAAATTAATCAAAATCTTGTACTTGCTAAAATKATTAAACATTCATATAGCATGGGACTGCGGAAGTAAAGCTCCTAACAATACTTCAAAACAAAACTATCTATGAATTCAAGACTTGAAAGTGCTTAACTGCTCTCTGCTTGAGTGTCAAAAGTGCTAAATAGTAAATAGCACCCCTCCAATCCCCTTATAATCGTGCCATTAATAACACTGTGTCAGTGTATCATTCCTCAATTTAAAACATAAACGCTATACATTTTATTACGTTATGTAATAAATGTTATATTATTGTACCATTGTAACTTTTTTATTTTTGTATGCATTTCAGGACTTTTGCAACAATTAGAAATCCTTCAGGACATGAAAAACATACTGTTGAACTGACACTCGGGCAGCGTCATTATCACCGCCATACTCAACCTAAATTTCTCTGTTAATGGTACGATTCGAATATCTAATAAAACGCAACTAAAGACTTTATAATACACTGNTTTTAATACGTTATGTAATAAATGTTATATTATTGTACCATTGTAACTTTTTTATTTTTGTATGCATTTCAGGACTTTTGCAACAATTAGAAATCCTTCAGGACATGAAAAACATACTGTTGAACTGACACTCGGGCAGCGTCATTATCACCGCCATACTCAACCTGAATTTCTCTGTTAATGGTACGATTCGAATATCTAATAAAACGCAACTAAAGACTTTATAATACACTGATACACCATCAACAATATCATCATTATTATATTTTTATTATTATTATTATTATTATTATTATTATTATTATTACTATTATTGTTACTATACATTCGAATTTGAGCATCAGCTACAAAGTTATTATAGTTTAYATTACAATTGTTAATATTATAATTATTTATTAGGGTACAACCATCACATTTATATATAGGTAATAATAATAACGCAATTTTGTTGGGTATTTTTTTATAAAATAATAAATTGTGGTATTAAGTTTAAGTATATGAGAATGGCATAACTCATGACTACGTAGTCAATATACTCTATAATTATAAAAAATACATAACATAATAATTTTGTCTTTTTTATGATAAAAATAAGTCAACCGAAAGCCATGTATAGCCAGGTAGGTGTTTAATGGGTAGATTATATAATATAATTATATTTTTACAATAATCATTCATTAATTAGGTACTTCGAGAAGTGTGAAAATTTTAATTTACTAAAAACTCAGAGAAATCACCATGATGTAGGTATAAAGAATTTCGTTTGTATCTTGCATTTATAATAGTAAGTACCTAAGTCACAATGATCACATTAATAAAGTACCTAGTCAAATTTAAGTTATTGCAAACGAAAAAAGATTCTAAAGAGAGACACCTAGTGGTGAGTGAYGGTCATCAGTGAGTATAGTGACTATATTTATAAATTATATTTTATTATTTATTTGCGTCAGGTACTTGTAGTAATTTATTTATTTATTATTAATATAATGTTATRATTTAGAAAGGAAGAGGAAGACCGAAAAAGAGATGGTTTAGTGTGCGATATGAGAATGATTAGTGTTCGTGAGGATGATTATAAGGATCGTAGTAAGTGGAAATTGAGAACCAAGGTGTCCGACCCCAAATAGTTGGGAGAGAAGACGAAGGAAAAGAAGAATATAGTGCTATGGTTTAGATTTCAATATTTTTATCCAGGAACATTGAATATCTTTTATCAATTTATGTAGCTAGTATTATATTATAAATTATTTTTAGTGACTTATAATTCATAAATCAATGCCAACGTACCRCGTAAAATGATGTCAATAAATGTTTCGTACTTTGTAAACACGTAGTATTTTATATAAATTGATTATAATTAGTCTAAATGTTTTGATGAAATTTAATTTCGCGTAGAAAGTAATTATATTATACGCATAACGAGATAAAGTTCTACAATTAAYGTTTTTAGAATTACATAAAAATAACTAAAACCGTTATTTTTCGTTCGATTTCATGAAATGTTGAAATGAAAATGTCTATAAAAATTTGAATCCCGCTTGAATGAGAGATACACGGGAGTGGTCAGGTTAAACACAACCAGTGAAAGTGTATTCAGTTACATAGGATTTTATAGATTTAACGATAACTTATAGCGTTGCTAAGAAGGTAAAATCTGTTTTAATTCAAAAAGATCTTTGTGCCAAACCCTCTCAAAGATTTGTGARATATAACGGAAAGCAGCGCTGTACAATATATTTTTAAAGTGTTATRGCTATCTGGTGTTCACACCAGTGCAGTATCACGATACTGATGTGGAGTGCTGAGTACGTATAACCGAACTAAGAATATAAGGTAGGACATTTTTCATCAACAATCAGGCTTTAAAATATGAAATTAAAAATGTAAGTTTTAAGTAATTATAAAAACTAATAATGTAATAACAATAAAATAGTAAAATATTTTTTTCAAATTTTTAGTMTAATATTATATCAAAAAAATTACACWGCTAAATGTTATTACTTTTTTAGTTAATGAATCTTGAACGACTGAATTACTGTTAAAATAATTACTCTGTATAAATTATATTACTCACATATCACGCATGTGTATACTAACACCTGTGTCTACAGAAAACCAACGAACAAAGTGTGGAAAATAAAATCATATAAGTATATAACCTACTTTCGTATCACATTATTTGATCGTAGTAATGCAAATTATTGTTTTATTATCAACCAATATCGAGAGTTTACGTATTTTCGATATAGGTATAGGTATTTCTTTTCATTCGCGTACAAGTATCGAATATTTTCACGAAACAATGCCCGTGGTTTATACATTCATTACGATTTAGTCTTTAATCTTAAAATACYTACACGCGTCACGCTATTATGTCATTATAAAAACAGTATTCTTTAAGAAAAAAAACCTAAAACAAAAACTATCGTCGTCGATCATCTATTATATGATAGACAGGGCGCTGATGACCCGTGCAGGAGAGCTGCATAATTCATCAATACTTTAATATAGGTATATACATATACTTACTTCAGCTGCATCATGCAAGTCAGACTCGTCGTTGGATTGACGCTGTTGCTAGCGACGTCGGCGGTGCTATTGAAAATGTAYTTGCTGAAGTACAACCAAGACTTTAGAAACTTAGTATCGGAAATCACTAAAAGCTTACAGGATGACCTGCTGCACTTGGTTACCGAATACGTCGACGATGAGAGTAAGTGTTTGACTCCCTTGAATAATTTAAAACTTTTCCTGAAATTAGATATATTAATAATAATATAAATATATATATACGTCGACGACTTACATATAGTACCTACGTCTTCCAACATCGTGAAACAAAAATTTGTGATAACTAAAACAAACGCTCCTCAATCATTTGGTAGGTAGTAATATTCTGCGRAATATAATACAATGAGAAATAAGATGAATAAAAGAGAATAGATCTTTCGTGTAGAAGGCTTTTTTCGGATTCTATTTTTTTAATTTTTTTTAATCAAGGATGTTCAGGAATTATTTCCGTTCAGGCCACACTTTTCTCGTAAAAGCGTCAACCTGTTGAGAAGATATCTTTATTACACATTGCTTGTTAATCATTGAAAATTGTATATATAAATGCGATAACATGAATTAAGACTTAAGTTACAACAAAGTAGTAGATATTACATTAATAAAACCGGTATTCTTTACATATTAGACCCATTGATTAAATATCTAACTTTACTGCGATCTTTGCCTTCATTCTTCATCTTCCTTTTTTGACATTAACTGACTATTTATATTCCCTCTGACCACATCCATGTTCTCCTTTGATTTTAACTTAAGTCTAAAAGCTGAATCTGTGAATCTGGAATCCAGTTTCCACCTACGTTGGATTCTGAGCAGAAAAGTRATGAATGTGTATTACTCTATACTATAATTTATTTTGTATCTGTCATATACTTTAAGACTTAGTTTTACTTTTACAGTGTCAAAAGTCAAAAAATTCTCGGTACTTTTTAAATAGATAAAACATTAAAAAAATAATTCTATTTTTATTTATTTATTTTTAAACCACTTAGCAATTGACATTTTCAAAATATTTTATCTTCTATTGTGTTATTTATAGACTTTTGAAACCATCAAGTTTTTTCGAAAACATTAGATCATTAAACAAAAAATTTTGATTATAGTTATTTTGTTCTAATTCAAAAAGTATTAAACACAGGGACTTTTCACCATTACGCATATATTTATTTCCATTATGAGGTATGCGAATAACAAGTAATAATTTAGTAAGTTTATAACTTAACTTAAAAGTTAAGGTTAACAACATACATATTTAATCATATGGTATAATATATGGTATGCTCTTGGAAAAAATTAGTTTACCTTACACCACGTATTACTTTTACAAAAATTAATTGCTAAAAGTATACCTAACTCAAATGAATTAAAAAATATTATTAGAAACTAGAAATCCCTACTCGAAACGATTTTTTTTCCGTAATAAATAAATTGAACACAATTTCAAAATCAAACGTACGTGATAGTAGATCAAATTTTCTGTTTTTTATAATTCGATCGATGATAAATTGTAACCATCAATTTATTATATAATATTTAGTATACTTATAATATTTATTCAATAATTAAAAGTTTATCACACGGCGTTATGAATATGCAAATCAGCTACACTTGTGTCGTGGATTCGTTTTTATCTAATAAGTTATGTTTGGGCGTTTGGCAGATATTTTTTTTAATTAAAAATGTTTGGGTTTCTTATAAACTATACACCATGACCATAAAATAGATGCACGATTGTAAATAGTTATATATTCCGAACATTATGTAAAATTAGTAAATTACCTATAGTAGTTTTTCAGAAAAATATCTAAATGCTATAGTCAATAGATATCTAGTATATCTACTATATTTATCATAAAATAAATCTAAAAAATAGGTAACCACTCTACTATACAGTAAGAGTTAAGTACTAATCGTCATAAAGTTACCATAAGTCACTGTAATGAATGTATTAAATTTTAATTTAAGGATAAATCATTGCATATGAGATATAAACCTGATAAGAAACGATCTGACAACCTTTATTACTAAATATAAGTTTATCATATATTTTTATTAGTAACATGGTATAGAAAATAATAAAGCAATATCTTAAAATAAATCAAAATATTTAAAAATGTCATTCTGTAATGTAGTATATTAATAATATAAATTGTCCCTTCAAAATAGAATAAATATTTTTTATGAAATACACTGAAATATTGTAAAAAATTGAACTTCAAACGCTTATAATACAAATTATGTTACATATTTTTTTTAACTTTCAGTTAAAATAACTTACATAACACCTATTGTACTAAATATTCAAGCTTTTGACAAAGCAAACATTTTTAAATATCTGTGAAAAAATAATTTGACGTTTTTAATTTCTATAAATAGCTCAAAGATTAACTACATTCAATATTATACAAATATACAATAGATTACAGAAAAATAGTATCTATATTCTATAGTTATTTGTTTTTGGTTAACTAACTTCAATATAAGAAAATCGATTTTGWCAAAAACCACTTCTGCGTAAAAATTCACGTTCTTTCAATTTATTAAGAAACGTGCTAGAAATGTTTTCYTTTTGATCACCCAATGTGATCACTAGATTCATTAAATATAAAAAATATATAATATAATTTAAAATGTTAATTAAGTTGCTCCAGAAGGTGATAATACAACATTTTTTGTTGTAACCCGAATCATTGTAAAGTAAATACTTTAATAGCTCCACTTAGAATTTAATACTACAAAATATTAAAATTATTATTTGAATATTTACTATAATATTTTAAGTAAGTAAATAGGTACAATAATATGTAATTCTTAATAGAAGGCTGAGTTTACAATTAACCGATTGTTAAATTTAAGTAACTTACAGTTTTCTCAATATTTTTTTAAGAAAATTACCTCCAAAGTACATACGACTATTTGAGTAGCTATATCAAAATTATTTGCAGTTGAATCACCGGAAGATCAAGAAATTCCAGAAAATTTAATTCGAAATTTTAGACCACCTCACTTAAAATTCGGAATTGGAAACGTGGTATTGATACATACTATGAACCCTGGTGTTATCATTGGATGGGACATTGATATGACGGTGAGTTTAGTACTAAAACACTCGAATAATAGTAGTTAAAAGTTGTGGCGGTCCTGGACGGATGCCACGTGGATCAGTGGTGTCACTGGTGGAGGAAAAAAAACACAAACCGTTCGCGGTATTATGATTCTTTTATTGTGGTGGTTGAAAAATACAACCGCAAGATAAAGATCAACACGAAAAAAAACAAAAAAGATTATACACTCAAAATGAATGTCGTGTTCGGGAGGATGAGGGCCGTGTGTCATTCCGTGTCGATCAGAGAACTCACTGCCGACCGGTTCATTCTCGGCGGATCGACCGCTCCAGGCGCGCTTATCGCACGTCGTCGATTGAAGGTTGAAAAGAGAAATAATTGCGCGGGTTYCCGCGCAAAGGCCGTTTGAATTCAAACGGCTATTACGCGCGCCCGCGTCAAAGTAAAGAAAAAATATAATATAAATACACTGGTCATACTATAGGTCAGGGGTCTCCAAAATAAGGACCTCATATTTGGGACATTGGAAAACCATGAGTGGCCCATGTCCCACTTATTACAACAAGAAATCCAAAGATAAASTGTATATTTTATCAGTATACTGGGTGATTCTTTTATTATTGAACACTCATTATTTCAAAAATTATTATTGATTTTGAAAATATTATTTTACATAGTTTCAAGTTGTTAAAAAACCAACGTTTTTATTAAAAAATTATATGTTTAAATATTTTTTATCCTTATCATTTTTAAAATTTTTTACTTTTTTGGATGACAGCATAGAGTTTTAATTTCATATTCCAAAGCAGAATATTTTTCTAAGTATTTTAATTCATAAAAATCAAATTTAGGACGAGTAGTTTATCAGTTATAAGTATTTAAAGCTTAGACAAGCGGAGTAGTTGACAAATATTTTGCGGGGTAACCCCGTACCGGCCGTATTACTCCACTCTGCCAATCTAAACTTTAAATACTTATAACTGATAAACTACTCGTCCTAAATTTGATTTTTATGAATCAAAATCCTTAGAAAAATATTCTGCTTTGGAATATTAAATTAAAACTATGTTATCATTCAAAAAAGTAAAAAACTTAAAAAATGACAAGGATAAAAAATATTTAAAAATTTAATTTTTTAATAAAAACGTTGGTTTTTAACAACTTGAAACAATGGAAAAAATATTTTTAAAAACATTAATAATTTTTGAAATAATGARTGTTTAATGATAAAAGAATCATCTGGTATATATATATGTTAGCGGYAATGTATGTAATACGTTATTTTATTAAATAACTAGTTATTCTATAAAATTCCTAAATATGTTCGTTAATAAATAAATCACACGGTTTTACTAGGTAATATATAAAATACCGATTGGGTTTTCGTTAATGTATGAAATTTATATCATTAGGTAGATGACCGGGACTAGATTAGATAACATACAAAATTTGTTACCGTTGTTGTTTTTATTAATAAAAATAATAAGATGAGATAGTATTGAACCACACCATTTGGTATAGACTAGACTTATTCGTGTGACAGTGTACCGCAATTGGYGCWATTTAATTTATGCACAGAAGAGTTTATTACACTTAATGACGTTCCAGATCTAGATATTTGCCTTCGAAAAGCATCCGAATCCCAATCAATTGGTAATGGACAAGGGTTTTTTAAATGTACATGCCAACAAAAGTGCACCACAAAACGGTGCATATGTTTAAAAAATAATTTACTATGTAATTCTAAATGCCACCCAAAAAGTTCCTGTACTAATAAATAAATTGTAAATTTAAAAAAAAAATTATACAAATACATTGACGTGAAAAAAAAATTAATATTAATATTTTATATAATAATGTAAGGTGTGTTTGACTTATACTAAAATTTGATTTTTTAATTTGTAAATTGATTAAGATTTTAATAATTATTCTAATAAATTGATGTGAAATAAATTAATATTAATATTTTATATAATATTGTAAGGCTTGTTTGACTTAATACTATAACATTTGATTTTTTTTGTAATTTGTTATTTAATTATAACTTTTATTCAATAATAGTTTTAAATACATTAACTAAACCCTTATTGTTAGTTTATAAAATATCTAGTTGATATGTAGAATAACTAGTTGAAGTATATATTTATGGATTCATTCAATACATTAACTGAAAGTACCCGTAATTCTATAAAATAACTAGTTATTCTATAKAATTACGGAATTTCATACATTAACGCTAACATATATATATACATATATACAGGTGTCCCGCGAGGATTTACCCATTGCGATATCTAACGAAATAATGGAGATATCAAAATTCTGGTTTTATAATAAGATTMACAGGGATAAGAACTATAATTACTTCATTTTTAAATTTATTTTAATGTTTGGGGTAAAAAAGTTAAAAATATATTTTTTTATTTAATTATTTCCAAAAAAATTAAAGATAGCCATTTTGTAGAGTTTATTTTTCTGAAAATATTGACGTTTCATCATTTTATTTTCATTAATTTCCTGATTTTTTCCAGTTTTAATGAAATAATTGTAATTCTTATCCCTGCGAGTCTTATTACAAAATCAGAATTTCGATATCACCATTATTTCGGGAGATATCGCAATGGGTAAATCCTAACGGGACACCCTGTATAATAAATAGGTATTATTAAATTCAAACAAAACAAATGCACACTAGATTTATATTACCTTTTAAACTTTTCTAACCAGAATTTTGCAACCATTAAAATCTAGCAGTTAATTTTTAAGTCGATCGCATTTCAATTTTCCACAAAAATAAAAATATAAATTTATTGATTCAACGTGTTTGAGTCCGCAGTACCATCAGTTTTTTTTTTTTTATGGCAGTCAATCAACAACAAAGCTTGGATACAATGGACATCCTGCAATAGTTTAATGCATTGCATTTAAATTTAAATAAATAAAAAATATTGTAGTTATATTCTTATATTTTATGTTATCAGGATCTCACTAAAGAACCAGAATACCTAATTTTAGCAGAACCTCATAAATTGATCAAATTAGAYCAAGATAAAATTGTAGTCCAACTGGAACACATTAAGGTAATTTAAATATTTGTATCTAACATTCCATTAAAAATGTAAATTAAATTCAAAATAAAATTACATTTTAGGTCAACCACAAAATGATAGACCAATATTTTGAAAGTTTTGATGGAACTGTATACATTCCAAATAAATCACTAAGAAAAATGTACCCAAAAGATTAAATCCACTTTCAATCAAGAACTGTACAAATTAATTGGCATTTAGTAATATAAGCAAAAATTACCATGACAAAWTAGATAAGTATCATCTAAGTTGTACTAATTTTTGCAGTATGCGCATCTCCTTTACCTCCGGCCAATGACATAGTTTTCCATTTCCAATTGGTTGATTTTGTTTACCATATTATCATTAGATGTTATTTACTTATTATCGAATTTCAGTTTTTGTGTTCACAGTAATTATTATGAATTATATTTATTTTATAATGTATTAGGCATTTAGGTAATTCAATATAATATTAAAAAACAACAATCAATTTAAAGTTTAAACAATCTATATACTTAACTACATAAACATAACCAATAAATWAAAATAATTTCTTTAATTTTTACTTGGTTATTTGTCATAGAGAAAGTTACTGCATTTATAATATGTCATTGACAGTTTAAAATAAAATTAGTCTTTAATTAATAAACTGCATAGTAGTATTTAAACTTTTTTAAAACAGTTAACGTCTCCAAAACTGTTTTTACAATTTACTATGATTATATGATGACATTCATATAATATATATAACRACAGATAAAAATGTAAGCTATTTTAAAAGTTAAAACGCTGCACTGTTTAGTGTTTAGTTAAATAATTTAAAACAATTTTAATGCCATCATATAACATACATGGTAAATTTTATGTTTAAATTATTCAACTGAATCAAATTTCTGATACAAACCAAACATCRAAGATGTCAGCCAATAAGATATGGAAAACTATGATATAGGTGAAGTAATATTTGAGCAGGGGATGTGTATCAAAAAACTGTAATGATACCTATCTATAATTGGTCATGGAAAGTACGAAGTTGTGAGGATAAGGATATTATAGAATTTTGTTAAGAAATAAAAACAAAATGATTTCATTTGAAGTTTGCTTTCTTTTAAATAATAAAATGTCTAAAAATGTCGATATAAAAAAAAAATACTGAGGTTAATTTAATTTTTGGAGTTGTAAAATCAAGCATGGGTTGTCTGGAACTTTGGTGTTTAGTATTCTTCACCACCTTCGCCTTCGCCTTCGACGGAGTCCATGCCAACCTCTTCGTAATCTTTCTCAAGAGCGGCCAAATCTTCACGAGCTTCAGAGAATTCTCCTTCTTCCATACCTTCTCCGACATACCAATGGACAAAAGCACGCTTGGCATACATCAAGTCGAACTTGTGGTCCAACCTTGCCCAAGCTTCAGCAATAGCTGTAGTGTTAGACAACATRCATACAGCACGTTGTACTTTAGCCAAGTCACCACCAGGTACCACAGTTGGGGGTTGGTAATTGATACCAACTTTGAAACCAGTTGGACACCAGTCAACAAACTGAATGGTCCTCTTGGTCTTGATGGAAGCAATGGCAGCGTTGACATCTTTGGGTACAACATCACCACGGTACAACATACAACAAGCCATGTATTTTCCGTGACGTGGGTCACATTTCACCATTTGGTTRGCTGGTTCAAAACAGGCATTGGTGATTTCTGATACAGACAATTGTTCATGGTAAGCCTTTTCAGCGGAGATAACTGGAGCATAGGTGACCAATGGGAAATGAATACGGGGATATGGGACCAAATTGGTCTGGAATTCAGTCAAGTCAACATTGAGGGCACCATCAAAACGGAGAGAAGCTGTGATTGAAGAAACAATCTGGCCAATGAGACGATTCAAGTTAGTGTATGTTGGACGTTCAATATCAAGATTACGACGGCAAATGTCATAGATGGCTTCATTATCAACCATGAATGCACAGTCACTGTGTTCAAGTGTTGTATGTGTGGTCAAGATGGAGTTGTATGGCTCAACTACAGCAGTGGACACTTGAGGGGCTGGGTAGATGGCGAATTCCAATTTACTCTTCTTTCCGTAGTCAACACTAAGTCTTTCCATCAACAAAGATGTAAAACCTGATCCAGTACCACCTCCGAAAGAGTGGAAGATCAAGAAACCTTGAAGACCAGTGCACTGGTCAGCCAATTTCCTGATTCTGTCCAAAACAACATCAACAATCTCTTTTCCAATAGTGTAGTGTCCACGAGCGTAGTTRTTGGCAGCATCTTCCTTACCAGTGATCAACTGTTCAGGGTGGAACAACTGGCGGTATGTTCCAGTTCTTACCTCATCTGTAACCAAAATATAAATTAGATTCTTTAATAGAAATTATATTTTTACACTACAAACTTACCAACAACAGTTGGTTCGAGATCAACGAACACAGCTCTTGGCACATGTTTGCCTGAGCCAGTTTCACTGAAGAAGGTGTTGAAGCTGTCATCTCCACCTCCAATGGTTTTGTCAGATGGCATTTGACCATCTGGAGCAATTCCATGTTCCAAACAGTACAATTCCCAGCAGGCATTACCAATTTGCACACCAGCTTGGCCAACGTGTACAGAGATACATTCACGCTATAAAAATGATTATTTTATTAAAAGGTTGTCAATAAGATATATTGAAAAATGTATATTTAGTAGTTGAATATTATATCAATTGACAGTGAGGCAACCAAATTAATATATGACATTACATAATACAGTAGTAATGTATACACAATTCAATTACCTTTTGTTGTTGGTTCAATAAGTATAAGAAAAAAGGCAACGAGGCGAACAAAATATAGTATCTAAATATTTTCTATTATGTTATATCTATAGAAGAGTAATATCAATGTCATATCTAAATTGAAATTGATTTGGGAATTTTGAAAAGGGCTCATATCTGAAAACTAAAAATTTTTAGGAAACTCAAAAAAAACTGATTGTCTTTTTAATTTTGTTTTTATTGAACCATTTTTTTTTTTTCTAAAATTACAGACTATATTTAATGTTAAGCTCTTGTAATATATTATTCTTGAAGTTAAATTTTATTGGAAAAGCGATTCATTAAGTTTTCTGAAATCTATTTTGGTAAAAATTCGAGATGGGCCCTTTTCAAAATWCCCAATTCAATTTAAGTCTGAATAGGAATGCAACGTCAAAAATAATGAAGAGTACCTATATCAAAAGTATAAATTAAGATTCTAATAATAAGTATATTTTATTATTAYTTATTTTATAATAATTAAAATATTAACAATTCAAAATTTGTTAATTAACAAGATTTAACACATTAATTATGTGCATTAGCAAAATTAAAAATGTTGGATAATATAGGCAATAATGTAAACTCAATTTTTGTATTTCTTAGTTATAAATAGGTACTTAAAGAAAACATGAATCAAATTTGCAGAATAGTTCTTCGTGGAATTCAATCATTTAAAATTTAATTTWTRTACCTAAGTAAACACTATTCTTACAACCAATTTAAATAATACTTGTGAATAGGTTAGGTAGGTTTTATACACTAGATATATATTTACATTTAGTCCAACATATTATGTTCAAGTATTATRACAAATTATTATAACAACAGCGTTTAGAGAAAGTTAAAAATTAATTTTGGGTGAAAAAGTAATAGGATAAAAATAAAATATAAAGCAGTGGTCAATATCAAAATTCCAATAATAATATAATCCTTTGAGAAATATCACAACAACTGCATRTTGTATAAATTCAAATTTTGATATAAAAAAACATTTGCCTAAGCAAAATAACACCAAAAGGGGCCTACTATCAAACATTTTTTTTATCTWTAATAACTTCAAATACTACTTATAGTATAACAAATAATAATAAGTTATTGATTAAAAAAATAAACAATTTAATCAATGATGGGAGCCGAACAGTAATTCAAATAACTGTAGCGAAACACATTCATCAGTACTACATTCAGGTGTTATTAGACTAAACTGTCACTTTCCTSGTGTGCATGCCRAAACATTCAAAACCATTAATTCGAATARGGAACAATTAATATTAATGACATAAACTATAGACACTAACCCCCTACAGAGTGAAATATAACAATGRCAACGCCCTTACCGAAACAAGTGCGTCGACAAGAATCACGTAAGATTTTTAAAAACAAAACAAAACATAAATCAATTTTATATTGAACCGCTCCACAAAATAATTGAAAATATCGAAATTTCGACGGTTAATATAATTTCCCAAGTTTCGTAGTAGGTTGTTGGTAAGCATTATTTTGTTGAAATCACGGTCACGTCCGGTTTAGAAAACAGCCACGTCATACGGACCATGTACACGGGCGTAAAGAAAGACGCTCTCGGTTAACGGTTTTTTCAGCGCCGAGTTCCGGTCACGCCCTACTGTAGCGTTCGCCCGATTGTCGGCCGGAAGCGGTCGAAGAAAAAGGTAACTGCGCGGATACCAGTGACCGCCGATATCGGTCGGAAAATAAACGTGAAAGCGGCAGCAACGGTTGTTGACCGGCTACCGCGCCCGAAGCGTGGACGAGTCAAGATGGCGTGGCGTCCGTTTGGAAGAGTGATGACTATCGAAGCGCAAAACACGAACAACGATCGCGAACGAAAATAATATTATAATATTGTGACATTGCGCTAAACCAAATATCGTTTACTTACCATTTTGAAGTTTTAGTGATTTCGTTGGATAGGAACGAATTGTCGAAGTAAAAAAACTCGAAGTTGTATTATGTCAGACAAGAAGCAATCGAAGCGGCTTCGTTCACGTCCAAACACAAATTGACGTCCAATGGCCGACGGTACCCGTGTTGTATGCTCCGAAACTCGTCTGCAGACCGACGACGCGCTGTTCGGCACACCGGCAATGCGGTGCCTACGCTTCCCACCACATCCGCACCGCTCGCCCGTGAATCACCGACGCACACGCAACGAACGTACCCCGCCCCGACCCGTCCGCCAAGCAAAAGTCCGTTAAATTATTTCCTTTTTRATGTTTTATCGCTCTCGCTCCAACTCCATCGGATGTTTGTCCGTCTCGTACCGACCAACGCTGCGCCTCGCCCCGACGGTTAAATGTTTAGTCGCCGTTTCTTTATCCGTCGAATTACTTATTTACTTCGGCATGACGATATGGCGTGGCTCTTATCGAAACCGAACTAAATAACCTTTAACCGAGTCCTTAACGGTTTTCGTTCGTCCATTTGTCCTTTCGAATTCGACGATTTTTTTTATTCTTGACGAAAGTGAATCGTGTCACACGTTTAGGAATCTTGGGTTTCCGTGCACGACCGCTTTTGCTCGTAACGATAGCTGTTATAGCTGTATAATAAAGTGATGAATGTGTCACCTTATATAGTTCGATTCATATTAATATGTTTGTCTCGCTATATCTATATGCCGTTACAACTCTCAACACTGTTTTATTCTACAGTACCACAGAGTGCAGGATATGATTTTAAATATGGAAACTGGAAATACAATAACATTGTTCTACACTTAGATAAAATACAAAATTAACTTTCATTTTGTCTAACA